GACCTTTTTTGGCAAAGGTAAAAGAGTAGTTCCCCAACGCTTTCTCCAAAAAGTGTCTGCAACTTAAGTTGGGAGAGCGCCTTGTCTTAATTTTCCCCGGTAACGTGTGAGAATAAAATTTGATTCACTTCCTCAAGTGCATTAGTTCGAAAGTGATCGTAACTAACCTAGACTGTAATTGGAATGGAACTCGTCTTGCCGATTCTACGTTACGCTAGCCGCACATCCGGGTTTTTGTGAAAAGCAAAAATTCTTACATCTTGTCTTGGAAATTTTCATTCATCCACCGAATTTATCAGATATTACATTTCGGATTCCGTACTTTACAGAATTTACGTTAATGAAAAACAAATTCAATTTCCTGAACAATTCTATACAACGGATCTTTGGTGAGAATGATTAAAAGTTGGAGAAGGCCAGAAAATGGCAGAGAATCGTGGAACAAAAAGGGTAAATGCGTTGTCCAATAAAGTTAACATCAAAACCTATGAATAAAATGCTGTTTATTAGTATCTAATATGACAAAATAAGTTTTCTGGGTTATTATACAATTCCAATATCCTTTGCAAACTTTGCAAGGGATTTAGCCAACAATTTGGTCCATCGGCAAGAAACTTGGTCATCTGAACAAAAGCAAACGTTAGTAATTTAGATTCGTACACCATTAGTAGTTTATTTCGATATTCAAATTGAACACGTAATCGTTGTATTCTTGTGTCATACACTAACTAAATACTCAGTGTGCCGTTATTAAAACGAATTAAAAGCTGATAATTTCTGGGAACAAGTGTTGATCGTTATTCACATTCAGGCTAATGTCCTTATGCTTGTTGTTGTTATCATAACGTTTCGATCGTTGTGCCCTCTGACCTTCTTCGCGGGTGTCGGCGATGCGAATAACGTTCGGAAATTTCGAACTGAACCCTTTATTTAAACAAGGCGATAAAGTGTCCTCGTTCAGTTGTATTTGTCTAGAGATATTTCGCTTTGTTTTTTTTTCATAGTGCTCAGTTATTATTTGTCCTTTTTCTCCAATAGTCTACTAGCCGGCGTTGGGATTGAACTCACAATTATCACTCTTTAATTCACTCGCCTATTGTCCCATGAGTCTATATACTAGTGAATTGGTAGTATATGACTAAGGCGAACAATAACTGAATTATTTTTAAAAAATGGACTAGACGAGATATCACGAGACATGGACCACGGAACGAAAATAATATATCCCCGTATATTACATATCTTGTTAAGATTCGATTTCATATTAGATACTAATAAACAGCATTTTATTCATAGGTTTTGATGTTAAGTTTATTGGACAACGCATTTACATTTGAATATTATAGAAAAGTTGTGATAATAGCAAGCAAAATGCGGACATATGAGCTTATTTTATTCTTTTACAGTTTTTTTTGTTATTTTCTTAACAGTTGCGGTCTTCTATCCAAATAATCCTTGAAAATAGTTCTTTTTCAGCCATTCTTGAGAAAATTCAAATAAGGACCTTTAATGTAATCGATCCTGGCTAGTCATCTCGACCTCAGCCACTTTCTTACAGACACACGGCTTCTCTCAGTCTCGTTTACAAATGTTTTCATGGCAACTGCCCCTATTACATGAATTTAAGCGTGCTACACGATTGACATCTATCTGCTTACTGTTAAAATAGCTAAATGCAACCGCCATTTCTACTCCAACTGTTTCTTTTCTTGCACTTCTCGCCTGTGAAAATCCCTCGCGTTTACTTGATTCCCAGGTAACTACAATCTTCAAAAGTTCAAATGCAGCGTCAATCACCATCTTCTATTTTCTTGAATCCTGTTCATTTTTCATCCTTTCCTCAGTCCTACTTATAATCTGTCTTTCCTCTAACTTTAACTCTCTGTAACCCCTTGCGTGCTAGAGGCATTTCCGTTTTGCTTGGAGTAAAATGATTTAAAAAATGTATTAAATAAACATGTTGCACTAAATAAACTTCCCTGTTATTAACCCGTAACATGGAAGATAGAAAAACGACGACAGGACGCGTTTAAATTAATAACTAAAGCCTAGCAATTGTTTATTTTTAGCTCGCTTGTTTGCGAGTCAAAGTATTGTTTTCTTTTTAGTGCTACGTTATGCCTCACCCATTCTTTCATTGATTTCTCTTATATTGCTGTTTACAATGTCAAAGTGTCACAGAAGAGACTATCCGATTAAAACTGTTTGTATATTTGCTATTAATTCCACAATCCCCCCAGACTCGCCACACAGACGTCCAGAAATTAAGTGGTTTTCACTAATATGCAGGTGTTGCTAGCCAATAAGATCAACAAGTTTTCTCAAGAGCAAGGCCCGTAGGAAGGGTCAGGGTATATTTTAAAATATTACGAGTCGCTCCTCAACCCAAACTAATGTGCTGGTATCAAGATAAAAGGGAGGGTCAGGTGTGGTTTTAAATTGCACACGGGCTATTCCCCACTTAGTCACTTGATAGTTCTTTTTTTTATTGCCGATCAAG